ATTTTCCCGGGTTTGCTGAGGCCTCTTGCCAGTCTCTGGACAGCAGGGATTGCCAAGAACCAAGTGTTTGTCAGGTGCCACCCGCCAGCGCTTCCAAAGTCTACCACTAACTGGGGTGCCCCTGACCCCCCTAGTCAGTCCGCTGCTGGAACTTTCCTCCCCTCCTTCCACGCAGCTCTTGGGGCAGTGGGGCGGCCGCAAGCCTAAGCTGGGGTTCCAGGAGAGCCGCCCTGACTCACCCAGCAGCAGCAGTACCTGCACAGAACGAACCAGGCCAAAGCCCAGTGCCCAGAAGGTGGGAGGGGGGCAGAAGTTGGAAAGGAGGAACTTCCAGAGTGGGTTGCTGCCAACTCGGTGGGCAGTCCTGTCCTGGACAGCCCTCAGAGGAGGGAAACACCCAGCCCTGTGGACTGGTGAGGGGGTTGTATGTTTTCCAGAGAGAAGGGGAAAAAAAATCAACGCCACCTGCAATTGGTGTAGCACACAGTAGGGACTTGGCGGTCATAACATTTGGCTGGAGGGGAAGATAAGCATGTCCAAAAACCAAACACATCGCTTTATTTTGAGACAACATTAACATCGTATAAAAAAATTCCAGTTGTAGAAATCACAGACAAACGGCAAGTTTATATACAGATCCTGTACAAGTGGGCACTGCCCTTCAGGCTAACTCCAGGCACACACTATACACGGGCGCTGCCCTTCCAGCTACACTCTAAGAAACAGGTTGGCACAGCCCCCCTGCTGGCACCGCTCTGGGAGGCTGCGCTCTGGCTGCGAACCTCTCCGTGGCAGCTCTTCAGTCGAAGTGTAGGTCAGCCCAAGCATGCTGCCTCGCTCGTCCTGTCCTCGGCTCCCAAGCAGGATGCCACCTCTTGCGATCCCTTCAGTCAGTTCATCTGGGCATCCTGGCTCTCTGGGCCCGGCACCTCTGCTGAGCTCAGTGTCTATCAGCAGTTCCCCAGACCCCTTCAGCTGGGCTCCTGCAGGGCCTTTCCAGAAGGCCGTGTCTGCAAAGCTTCTTTCTTTGGCTTAAGGGTAGGAGTGGTGGGGAAAGCACCGTCCCCACTTCTTTGTCAGACCCTCTGACATGAATGTGGGGTTCGTACTGCCAGGCCTGCCGACCACCTTTAAGTTGAGACCCTTAATACTGACTCATTTTGAGGCTGCTGGGTGGCAGCTTGTGCATGTGGTGGGAATGGTTCCCCCGACTGAGGCTTTGGGAGGGGCCCCAGGGCAGGTGAGGGACACCTGCTCCTGCCTCCTCAGTCCAGTTCCAATCCTTATGCCAGATGTGGCGTGCACCTTCATGGGGTCTGCAAGAGCAGCAGTGGCAAGAGCAGCACAGCCCAGGCAAGTGGGAAGAGGCGGGGGGCAGCGCTGTGACCGATGCTATGTAGGACCTGCACCGTCGGGTCATCTGCAAAGTGACAAGGCACAAACCCTTGGGTGAGTGGCCCCAAGACTGGCAGTCGCCCCCAGCCCAACAAGGTTTCCCCAGCCTCTGCCTGGCACAGGAGCCACAGCTTGCACCCAGCCTCCTCAAGGAGAACTTCTGTGCCACAAGCCCAACTTGCTCAACTACCTACCTGCTGGCAATCTTTTTTCCTGTGAATTCACATGGGCCTGGGGACTGTGAGCTGAAAGACAAGGAGGCTATAGATCAGGTATTGTGCCTGAGGCAGAGGGCTGGCAGGGCATGGGCCTTCCCTCCCACCCCAGACCCAGGCCAGGCCCACAGAGATGGAGGAAGGCGGTCCACAGGTCCCCGACACTCACTCATCTTACCACCAACAGTCACCTTCAACCGCAAGCACTGGTCTTCCTGCTGGAAGATGGCTTTGGCTGCAAGATAAACCCACAGGGTGTTAAGGAAGGAATCTTTGCTGGAAGAAAAAATACAAGGGCAAATGGTGCTGGCTTGCGATCTTGGTCTCTGTTCATTTTAATTCCTTTCCCCTTTATTAAAGATCTGTTTATTTATGCATACAGAACTGGGGTACAGGCCAGAGGTGCAGAGGGTAAGAGGATTCACCAGAGGCAGAGTGGGGAGCAGAACAGGCAGATGTAGCGGAATACACTGCTGAGGGGAGCAGCGGGGATCAAACTCGCGCTGCTGCAGCTACGGCAGCCTCATAGTACTGGGCTTTAACCCACTGTGCCACCGGGGAGGGCTCTCTCTTTTAATCTTTCATTCTTACCTTCCTCAGTTTCTGCCCACTTTCTGCCCAAAGGTCGACTCAAACTCCCATTGTTTAGGATAACCCTGGGCTTTGGAGGTAAACAGGAAATAGACACTGCGTCCTCCCGCTGTTTCACTCCACCAAGCTGAGGCTGGGTGAGGCCGTCACAAAGTCTCCCTTAACTCGGGCCATTTTATACCGCCCAGCCTAGCCCAACTGACAGAGTGAGTCCTAGACCCATTCTACACAAAACTGATCTTCTAACTCTTCTAACACACCAGTGGCTCCCCACTGTCCTCAGGGTAAAGTCCAAACTCCTCAGCACTGCCTAGGTCCCCATGAGTTGCCCCGACCACCTCTCCCAGCTCATTGCGCCCCGATTCCAGTGTCCCTCCAATTGAGTTCCCTGGGTGGCACGCTGCCCAGGCACAAGCTCCCGCCTGCCTGGCTACCTCCTCTGCTCATCCTAAGCTCGGGGTCATTTTCCATGCTACACTATTGGATGGGCTATTAACCTGTGTGCCCTCTTCCTTGTTCCCTGGAGTCGTGTGCCTACAGTGCCAAGCAGGCAATGGGAAGACGCTTCCCCCACATCTGCAGTGAGAATGAATGAACACAGAATGCAGACGGGAAGGGATCTGTTGCTGCTTGACTCCTCGCTAAGCATGTTCCGCCTTGTGCCTGCGCACACTTCCCTGGGCACTCACAGATGTAGTAGTAGCTGTGTCCCTCTTTGAACTCCTTGCCCAGGGTAAAGGGGGTGAAGCGCTGGAACTTCTCAGACAGCTTTTCAGGGCCGTGCTTGGCACTGGGCTGGTTGCACTGCCAGCGGACCTGGTCCTTAGAGTGGGGTTGGCACAGCTGGTACTGCTCATGTTCCACCAGGTAGAGTGTGTACCGCTCCATGGCAGCCTCTGGCACAGAGTCGTCCTCGTAATGTGGACAGATGATGTCCAGGTAGTCATTCAGTCGCACGTGTACGGTATAGTCCTCATTCTGGAACCTGGGTATGCAGAGAAGGCAGGTGATCACTTGGCCAGATTCTTAAGCCTCCAAATGTTTACATGACCCCTCACATTTCACACTGGAATCCCACCCTCCAATGAGTTTCCAAAAAATCTCAACTCCCAGTATTTACTGATCTTGATTTCTTTTTCTTTTTTTTTGAAAATTTATTTACTTATGCATACAGAACTGGGGTACAGGCCAGAGGAACGGGGAGTGCGCAGATTCACCAGAGACAGAGTGGGGAGCAGAACAGGCAGACTGACATAGTACACTGCTGAGGGGAGCAGCAGGTGGGTCAGGAGAGGTCCACCGTGCCCCATGTGGGTCACCCCCCTGGCTGGGGATCGAACTCGTGCTGTAGTGGCTGTGATAGCTTCATGGTGCTGTGCTTTAACCTGTTGTGCCACCAGGGAGGGACCGATCTTGATTTCATCAGTGTTTCTACCATCTCCAAACTCTCCAAAATCCCCCATCATTGTCTCCTATTATTCCTCTGAGTAGCACCCACTTTGCATCTTTCGGGTGCCACAGGACTTCCCACAAACACCCTGATATTTCCCAAGGCTGGGCTTCCAAATATTTCTTTCCACATTTCACTCACCATTCTCTTCCACCCATGAACACTTCCCCAAATCTATCCTACCCCTTCCTTTAAAACATGCTGCTCTGTCAGTCTGAGGCCTACAGCCCAAATCTATAATCAGGATCCTTTCTCTTTGCCGTGCTGGCGCTGAGCCCCTTACATGGGAAATGTTCCCCTTCCCTCATGCTTTGCCTTTTCTTCCCCTGACCCTCTCAGAAGAAATCTCACATTTCTCAGCTGCACATTCCCCCCAAATACCCAGTAGACCCAGGTCCACAGATAGGGCCTGGATTCTTCAAGTTAAAACACTTTCATCAAGTCAGTCACCTCAAATTTTCTAGCTGCTCAGGTCTCCTTGTCTACTTCTTTCCTCACACCTCCCACATCCCTGTTCCTTTATCTCCCAAAGCCACCCTCACCTCCCAGGAGTGAGCTCCAGAAATGCCTGAGTTCTCAGCCCAGAGATTGCTTCTCTCCTCCTCCCAGGTGGGGCCAGCTCCCTCCCAGCCTGCCCCCTCAGTCTCCACAGGCTCCAGCCTGACTGCCCACCACCCCTCCCCCCAGCTCCAGACACCTGGCTCCAGCCTGGGTGGGGTTCTAGTAGGGGGAAAGTGCCTCCCCACCTCCACTCCAAGCTGGTCAGCTTCTCCGAATTCCCCTAAGCACTGCCAGCTAGAGACTCAGCAAGTTGGCTGCCAACTTGCATCAAACCAAAGCCCTAGGCATGGGTGGAGGGGGAGGGGCAGGCGTTAGGCCAAGAGGTCTGTGTGGTGGGCACCCACTGCCTGGACAGGGTGACCCTTATGAGAGCTGGCCTTGCAGGAGCTTGCCAGTGCTCAAGCTTGGCTTCCTAGTACCCCTCCCCCACCCTGGGGAAAAGACAGAGGGAGAGAGAGAGGAGAGAGAGAGAAGCAGAGAGAGGCTTTTAAAATTCCTCTCTGGAGAGATAAACATAGAAGCCATTTCAGAACAGGTATTTCAGCTCAGGGCCTGGCGTCTTTCCCCCATTCCCGTGACGGGCACTGACTCATTCCTCCTCCACCTCTACTACCCGCCCCAGCACTCATGAGAACCTGTGAAAATTTACCTTGTCAGTGTGGACAGCCCCCAGGACCCCCAGGATGGCATGGTGCCCACTTGCCCTGGGCACGGTCTTCCAAGCAAAGGGAGCTGGCGGGTCTGAATGGGTGGGGTACCTTCCCCTTCAGCACCAGTGGAGGCCAATGCCCAGTTCACAGTTGCACCACCCTCTTCACCACCCCCTCACCACTCTGCCCCCTGCCTGGGGCCTGGAGATCCTAGGGCCCATGCCCACTGCCCTGAGTCACCCATGCCAGCCTCACACCCGCCCGGCTCACTGCCACCTCATTTCTGCGCCCAAGCGGGCCCAGTTTGGCTGCCCGTGGACTCCACTTGGGCTGGCTTCTCTTTAGTCCAGGGAATGGTGTGTGTGACAAACAGACAGGCCAGATGCTGCGCTTGGTTGGGGGCACCTATCACCCCCTCTCCTGGTGGTACAATCTGTTCCACTTAGTGCTCCTCTGACTCTTGCTCTCCATTTGGGAAAGGGGGGCAGCGGCGTCAGGGAAGGCAAGGAGGGGGGGCAAGGAAGAGGCTCTTTCCTGAAAGAGAGGAAACCTGGGAGCTTGGGAACGGAAAAGGCCAGGGTTCCCCCCTCCCTACTCATGGCTTCCTGTCCCCTCCTCCTCCTTTAGCCAACACCTGGCATGGGCATAAACAGGGACTTTGCTCTCTCCCACTAATATAAGATTGGGTCAAGGAAGCAAGGAACAGGGAGCAAGGAGCAGGGCGGGGGAGGGCCAATGGGGCAGCCTGGTTGCAGCCGGGCAAGAGGGCATTACCCTCTAGGGCTGGCAGCTGGCTGCTCCCTGCCCCCACTGCATGCCACCGACTACAGACCCCCCACCATGCAATGCTGCCCCAGGGTCAGAGGAAGTTGGCACCATAAATTTCTCTAGGGGGGTGGGGGTCAGGCTTGCTCAGGTTGGGGGGGATAACCCAGCTGAGTGAGGTGTTTCCCGACCCCAAGCTGCCCAGCCCTCCTCACTCCCCTCTGCCTTCTCCCTTCTCCAGTCCCCCCACCCCAGCAAATATAGTTGCCATAACTTCAGAAAACTCAAGGGCAAGAACAAAGGGTCCCGAAGGAGCTTCTTCCCTCCAGTACCATTTGCCTCAAGGCCCTAAACCTGCCTAGGAGAAATTAACTCCTTCCTGCCCAGAATCCTGAGTAACCTTTTTAACCCCTTGTATTCCTCTTCACCCTTCCCACCAGATCCCTGCCCCCATCTCTTCAGCTTTACTACTAGAATCTCATAAACAGCTGACTCCCTCAGTCTACCCACAAGCAGCATTTGCCTCACTTTCAAAAGGCCACCTGTGGGGGGCTTTCCAGGGTCACCTTAAATACAGAAGGGACGCTAACCGCCTGCAGCCGGCCCCTCCTGGGGCGTCCTCCCAGGATTACAGTGAGCCTTCTGCTTAGTCCTGGGGCCCTATCGGGTATTTGTCGCTGTGGGCAGATGCCCAAGTGCCAGACATGGAAAGGAAAAGCCTTCCCGTGCGGTGGAAGAGTCTAAACGAACCCTAAAGCTCCTTCCCTGCAGCCTGGAAGGTGGTCCTCACGCGGGCCCTCCCTGGGAGCAACAGGAGTGGCAGGCAGAGGAAGGACAGAAAGGTCAGAAATCACGCCTACCCAAGTAGACACCGGTGGGGTACACCCAGCGGGTTGGGGGGTGCTCCTCCACGGAATCCCCCCTCCTCTGGTCACCTCCCCAAGACTCGGGTCACGGGCTGGCCGGGGCAGTTAAGCCTGGAGTGGCCAACCAGGCCAGTGCCAACCAGGCGCCCAGACAGCCCGCCGGAGACTTGGGGCTTACTTGGGGTTTGAACTGTTCCAGAAGACGGTGTGGCGGTCAGCAGCGGCCAGACTGCAGCACAGACCCAAGAAAGGGGCCCAAAAGAGCTCCATAGCGCGGGGCCTGGCCAGGCCGGGCGGAGACGAGGGGCTCCTCGGGGTCTGGGTTCCCGCAGGCTCTCTCCGCGGCGCCGACAGCACCGCGCTCACAGCTCTGGCCGCGGCTCGCCGCGACTCC